TTTGACAATTAAGAATTCCAATAACGTAACATTAATTTGCCCTTTATTAATATTAACAATACTCACTTTTCATTATTAATCATAAAAGTGGAGTTGCAAAACAATGTTTGAGCTTGTTAGTTGATCCCCCTAGGCCCAATCAATCACTAATAAACCATATATTAATAATATTATCAAACTCAATTTGTTATTGTTCTCTTCTAAGCATATTTTTTTAATTAAAAACTACAAAGAAGGTGCTTATCTAATAAGAGTGCATTTTTACCTCACCTTGTTATAGTCACCCTAGAGAGTAACTAATCCTTTCTTTCTTTTTCTTTTTTTTTTCTGTTCTTTTTCTTAGTTGGTACTCAAAGACATATGTTTTCACTGAGGCTTGAATTCTTAATCTCTTTTTGAAAGATAAAAACCTAATACCGCTAGACTACTGACCCGCTAATTTGTAAATAATTCATTTTGATTAAGAGAGAGAAAGAAAGGGAGGCCTGGATTGAGAGAGAGAGAGAGAGAGAGAGCCAGCCTCATATGCTCTTACTATATATTTTATAATATTTTTTGTTCTATAATTTCAGTCATGGGCCTTGTGGCCTAGTTGATCAATATCAATCAGAATTCTCTTTACATTGCCAAGTACAAAGTTTTTGAAAAGGACTTCGTGTTTGTTTGGAGTTGGTTTTGATTACAAGCACTTATAGTTTGGACAAATTTTTCTATTTTATTTTTCCTTTTTCAGGGTAAAATATTTTATTCAAAAATTATAGTTATAATTTTATTACGTATAAATGAAGTTTTGAATCCTTATTTATCATTTTATAGAGTTAAAGTCACCGTATTTTGAACAAAATGGTCAAACTATTTTTAAATATCATTTTTTTGCTACAACTCTTATGCACCGATACCACTTTTATACACACATGTAATTTTTATTTATTTATTTATTATTATTATTTTTTGTAGATTATTTTGATGACGTGGTCTGCAAAAAAAAATGATACATACCAATACAAAAAGTGATGCTTGATGATATGGTCTACGCAAAAAATGATATACATGTGCATAATAATGATACATCTGTGTACAAAAATAGTACTTAAAAATAATAAAAGTAATTTAGACAAATAAACAATATTTTTCAATATCCCTAGTAACATTTTGATCAACTCTATTTTCTTAAAGCCGCATGACTTTAATCATGTAAAACAGTAAGTGAGAGTCCAAAACTCCCCCGTAATAATCCTTTAGTTAATATTATGTTGAAAAAGGCTTCCATAGTGTTCGTTTGAGTTACATAAATTTTCAAATGGTATGTATCATATATATATATATATATAATTTAATTTCCGATTGACCATACAAATTATAATTGAATACCTTCTTGTGTTTCTCAAAGTATATTTATGTAGTATGATATTTTGGCAAGAGATGCACAGGAAATTTTGAACCAAATGATTTGGTATGCACCTAATTATATCATAAATCTTTAAAATGATACTCTTTCTATTTCAAAATAAATGTCATATATATATTTTGTTGTCTGTTCTAAAATAATTATCTACTTTCTTTTTTCAAACAATATATTTTACATATTTTCATATATGTCTTTTGAATTAAAAATTTCATACTTGAATATTCAAAACTTAAAAAGACAAGTTAGTAATATTTTAAGGAGACAATGCATGTTTCATATGTCCCATTAAAAATTACTCCATCCGTCCCAAAATAAGTCTCATACTTTCTTTTTTTCTTTGTCCTAAAATAATAATCCATTTTCCTTTTTCAAACAATATATTTCACATATTTCTATATATGTTCTTTGAGTTTAAAATTTTGAACTTGAATATTCAAAACTTAAAAGGCCAAAATACCCCCGGCACCAAATTACATCAAAAATCTTTAAAATGATACTCTTTCTATTTCAAAATAAATGTCATATATATATTTTTTCGTCTGTTCTAAAATAATACTCCACTTTTTTTTTTTCAAACAATATATTTTACATTTTTTCATATATGTCTTTTGAATTTAAAATTTCATACTTGAATATTCAAAACTTAAAAGGACAAGTTAGTAACCTTTTAAGGAGACAATGCATGTTTCACATGTCCCATTAAAAATTACTCCATCCGTCCCAAAATAAGTCTCATACTTTCTTTTTTTGTTTGTCCCAAAATAATAATCCATTTTCCTTTTTCAAACAATATATTTCACATATTTCTATACATGTTCGTTGAGTTTAAAATTTCGAACTTGAATATTCAAAATTTAAAAGGCCAAGATAGTAACCCCCTCCCCGCACCAAATTATATCATAAATCTTTAAAATGATACTCTTTCTATTTCAAAATAAATGTCATATATATATATTTTTGTCTGTTCTAAATTAATACTCCACTTTCTTTTTTCAAATAATATATTTTACATCTTTTCATATATGTCTTTTGAATTTAAAATTTCATACTTGAATATTCAAAAAAGGACAAGTTAGTAACCTTTTAAGGAGACAATGCATGTTTCACATGTCCCATTAAAAATTACTCCATCCGTCCCAAAATAAGTCTCATACTTTCTTTTTTTGTTTGTCCCAAAATAATAATTCATTTTCCTTTTTCAAATAATATATTTCACATATTTCTATATATGTTCTTTGAGTTTAAAATTTCGAACTTGAATATTCAAAACTTCAAAAGACCAAGATAGTAATTTTGGAAGTATCCCCCCAACCCCCCTGGGGCGCTGTAAGCAACACTTAAATTAAAACAGAAAAAATAATACCCCACATAAATTATACTTAAATTGAGACATAGAGAGTATTAAACTTTATAATAAAAACATTGCACAAGGCTCTGTCTTAAATTTCGTAATCCAAACTGTCACCTCCAAACTACAATAAAATAATTTTACGATTGTATTTCGTGATTTGTACTCATAACCTTATAACACCAGGTAATATCTGGGCCATAATTCATGCTTATTTTAATTTACCACTATCAATCATTGCATACGCAAGACAAAAGAAACTGCACAAGTTGGCTGGACACACCCCTAAAAGAAGCAATACTATTGACTAGGAATAGAGGGGTTAATTATCTAAGAGAGTAGTATGAATTATCAAATATAATATGATGATAATTGAACCACACTTTTGTTTAAAGAAATGGAAAAGTACATATCTTTTTTTTATTTTTATTATTATTATTTTTCTGTACATGTACCTAAACAGAAGTTCACAAATCAATGTACACTATGTATGAAAGCCAAACCACTTTTAAAATGAAGAGGGACTTTTAGGGTATTTCGTGTCTGTTGTTGGAGGGGTCACTCATCTCAGAGATGACTGATAGCCACACCCACCATCAAAGAGAGGCGTGGACTAGTTGACAACACTTTCCTCCTTGTTTTGAAGTGAGAACATCCAAATGTGTCCGTATCATTTTTTCAATAATTAAATCTGTTTCAAATGTATTTTTATTTTCAAAAAGATAAATAAAGCAATAAATAATGAAAAATCTATTATATCTATTAGACAAAAGTGTGATGAGAAAATCCGAGTTTGTTATATGACTGATATTATGAAATAATAAAATGTTTTTCATTTTGTCAATTTTATATAATTGAAAAGAAGTTGTTGCCTCAAATTATGTTGAATCTAGGCCTACATCTCACATTCACATGGCCAATAATGGTGTATCAAAACCCTTCTTTCCAAGACACACAGTATATTGAGGATTTTTAACAAAAATAAGATGTAATTGTTATTAAAAAAAGGAGAAAAAGTGTGATTGTAACTATATTCATGCGAATGCAAAATGCTACGTAATATCATCACGAATATTTATTAATCAATGGTTTTAACTAAGTTATATAATCATTTTCAATGCATACACGTGTTCTTACTCTCCATCCCACTATTTTGTTACTTAGAATCCGTTTGGAATTGTTGTTGAAAAAAAAATGCTTTTATCAATAGAACTGTCAAAAATTTGCTGTCCGTATAAAAACATGTTAGAATTTGATAACACATTATAATAAATACTTTTTTCAATTAAATTATTTTTTAATTTATTTGGTAACAATTTTTTTAAAACACTTTGCTAATTTTATAATAATATCCTTTAATACGATATTACCATATTTGTGAATAATAACTTTATTAAAGAATGAGTATAATTGTCATTATAAAAAATAAAATTGACAAAATTGTCTAGTGAAAAAGAGCTACTTAAAATATTCAACCTCTTGCCAGTTTTATAAGTTACCAATTCTAATTTTATTTAAACGCGCTTCTAATGGTTACCAAATACATCTAAACTCAATTTTTCAAAATATAAACGATTTTAAGCCCGTACTAATTTGTTTCCGCTATCGATTTTAAGCCCGTACTAATTTGTTTCGGCTATCTTAACAAGTGGACGTGTGAGTTATAATATAAAATAAATAAATAAAAAATATTATTAGACTGATTACTTCCTGTGGTGATATTTTTATATTTGATAAATATTCATTAATTTAAATTGTTGATTAAAATAGGTACCAACAAATACAGTTGTTTCTCTTGTGATTATTTTTATTTATTTATTTTATGTTTTTTAAAAATGTTGATAAGAGTTTAGAGTTATCTCCATTTGGCGCAAAACATAGTTTATGAATATAGGGAGACACATGGCTGTTGACCTCACAAGGCAGACAAAACAAAGTGCACCGTCACCGTTACAAACGGTGGCAATGACGGTGTTATCTGGTGCAGGCATTTTACCTCAAGAAACTCCTCTACAAAACCTGACAGAGTTACCTGGAGTATTGAAGTTGAACACAACACAAAAGCGCGCATCTGCTTCTCTCTCTAGACACATATTTCTCTCTCTACATGTCTCCATTGACAAAACTAAGAGAAAAAAAGTGAGGGACAATAGTGAAGGGTGAAGATGAGGATCGTCAAGACCATCGATTCGTCACAAAATCCCAGTATATGTGGTTTCTTAGTGGTCGAAGCTTATCCCAAAAGGTATTCCTCTAAGATCCCCTCAGATTTGGTACTCTTTTTAGGTCTTGGCTTCATAGATTGGTAATTTTTATACATAGATTTTCTGTGTGTCTCCTTTTTTGGTCTGTATCTCTAATAAAGATTGAACTCACCTACATGGATTTGATGGGTTTGATTCAGTGTTTTCCACCTTTGTCTGGAGGATTTAAAGAGATACTTGGGTTAGGGTTAGATATTGTCTTCATCTAGCTGTCGCGTATATCTTTCTCTTTCTATACACAGAGATCCAATAGTTCTATATTTTTTGTTTTTTGTTTTGGTTTTTTTAAATATGTTTGCTGCTTCTTCTTGATATCTCTATCTAAAATACTCTGACAGAACATTCCGTTTTTTTCCCGACAAGTTTGGGTTTCTGAATATTGTTTCCATTTTATGAATCTATTTCCATATTCTTGAATATGGTTCCCATTTTCTTTCTCAATCTATGACAACTTAGGGTTTTTTTTAATTTTTTTTTTTTTATGGCTGATTTTATTGTGGTGTGTTGTGAGCAAATAGTTTTGTGATTTATAAGTCTAGGGTATTGATGGGGATGGGTTAATATAGACGGGATTGATACGATGATGATGTTTATAAGATGGTTTTTCTGTTGAAAATATTTTGGGATCAAAATTCCAGACCTATCAGCTATACTGATCCTAAGACCAAGTTTGGTATTTTAAATGGGTGATTCTCTTCTAACGGTCCTGTCAATGGAAAATCACCACCCATCCACCCTATTGTCCATGGACTCGAGTACTTCGTCATCACGTGACGAATTGGATCTCGAGATGAATCGCCAAGTTGTTCTTCCTCGCCCTCCCGATATCAATTTACCCCTGTCGGTGGAACGGAGCCCACCTCCACAGACGTGGAACTTGGACACTTGTGATATTCTTGATGTTGGGCTTGCTCCCCAATTCTATGAGACGGAGAGTTTTCTTAATGTCCCCAAGGTTGGACGGAAATGCGTGAAAAGGGTTGATAGCATTTGGGGTGCTTGGTTTTTCTTTAGTTTTTACTTCAAGCCCATTTTGAATGAAAAATCAAAGGCAAAAATCATTCGGGATAATAAAGGAATTTCTGGGTTTGATAAATCTGATCTCCAGCTTGATGCTTTCATGGTTCAGCATGATATGGAGAACATGTACATGTGGGTTTTCAAGGAAAGGCCTGAGAATGCACTAGGTAAGATGCAGCTAAGGAGTTACATGAATGGGCATTCTCGTCAAGGAGAGCGTCCCTTTCCATTTAGTGCTGATAGGGGTTTTGTTCGATCTCACAGGATGCAACGGAAGCATTACAGGGGCCTCTCCAATCCCCAGTGTGTTCATGGGATTCAAATTGTTTCATCACCCAATCTCATGGGTCTTGATGAGGATGAACGGAGAAGGTGGAGGGAACTCACTGGGAGGGATTCGAACTTCTCAATCCCACCTGAAGCTAGCGACTTCAGTTCGTGGAGAAATCTTCCCAACACAGACTTTGAACTTGAGAGACCACCTCCTCTAATAAAGAGTAACTCAAATTCTCATTCAAAGAAATTGCTTAATGGATCTGGGCTGAATTTATCAACTCAGCCATCTAACATTAGCAACGGTGATTTGATGCATCTATCACCTATCTGCAGCAAGAAGAGGAAGGACTCCCCGCATGGGAATGATGATGAATGTCATTTGGCTTTTAATCCTCCTATTAGTCGTGTTCCAGATTTGGAAATTCATCCAAACGAGCCACGCTGGTTGAACGACTTCAGTGGGGTAATGAGGAATGTTTATGGGCCTGTTACAGCTGCAAAAACAATTTATGAAGATGAAGAAAGTTATTTGATTATTATCAGCTTGCCCTTAGTGGATCTTCAGAGGGTGAAGGTCTCTTGGCGGAATACTCTCACTCACGGGATCATTAAAATATCTTGTTTGAGCACATCTCGTACGCCATTTATCAAGAGAAATGATAGGACGTTCAAGCTTAAAGATCCATCTTCAGAGCACTGTCCTTCAGGCGAATTTGTTAGAGAGATCCCACTTGCAACCCGAATTCCTGAAGACGCAAATATAGAAGCATATTATAATGGACCAGGAACAGTTCTTGAAATTATGGTGCCAAAACTCCGTGTGGGGCCTGAAGAACACGAGGTTCGTGTTTGCCTTCGCTCTCACCTTGGAGGCAATGATCTTATGTTGACTTGAGAAATGAATCGTATGAGGAATGTAAGTGTGGTTGCATTGGTTGATGCTCATTATTTACTAACTTCGCATTATACAGTGTAACCAAATGGAACAAAGTGTGGACCTCATATTTGTCATTTTCAATTTTAGCTCACTAGTGCTATGTTTTTTTTATTCCCATACATTTAGCTTTTCATTGTAATCTCTACATATATTTGAATATGTATTTGAATTGCTTGGTTTAATATGTGGTGTTCTCCTATCCTGTTATTTTCAGGCTCATGATATTTTGGTACTCAGACCTTCTTTCTTCGCACTTCATTGTACATTTATTTATTAGCGGTTGAAGGAAATCAACTTTAAGGATTAGTGTTGATTTGGAATGGATCTCCAGTGTAGTGATGTAAATGCTTGCTGTATAATTGGGAGAAGTGGTCATCTTTTGATGGAGAAACACAAAAATTTTCAATATTGTTCTTTTGGTTTGATTGCAAAACTCATCTTCTCCACCTAACCCTCAAACCCCACCCAAAAGAAAGAGTGAGAGAAGATGAAAATGCTCCAGGAAAGAAAAAGAAAGTCATTTTTTTGTTTGGGGAAATATAGTTGACACAATATCTCAGGACTCTTGAGTATTAAATGCGTCATCTTTACATCTTATATTTTTTGTTGCATGCCACTGTTTTTATTTTATAGTAAAAATACCTTCCTTAGAGTACCATAAAGAATAGATAGTTGCTTGTGCATAGATTTACTGGTTCTTAAAGTTGATCGTCTTTTTTCCCTTTTCTAAACTGTATTTGCATATATCTTGTGGTTCCTTTTGTCAGAAAGGAAACAAAAATTTCATATACATTTTACCCTTGATCAATTGTACTTTTAATTATACACTTCGATGAAGTTTTGTGTTGTTGACATCATACTCTAGTCCGGGGATGGACAATCTGCCTGCGTCTTCATGTCTGGATTGCCCATCATCACCTGTCCGTACACGCAGCGCTTACATTGTAAACAAAATCCTTATGGAATTGTCAGATTTTGCTTCCTTTTTTTTTTTAATTTTTTTTTCCTTTTCTTTTTTTTTTTAATTTTTTTTTGTCAATATTATGTTTACTTTCATTTGAGTGAATGTTTTCATACAATTTATGAAGATGTTGACCCAGCTCTTCGTATCTGGGATACTTGTTGAGTAAATCTTATGTACGTTTGAACTTTGTTACATTAGCGGTTGGTAGGCAATTTACCAGGAAGATATTTCTGCCACATGATAGAGATAAGAGAGAGGCAGCTATAAAGTAGGCTTTGTTCCTTCACATGGTTTTGTAGGATGAATAGTTGGAAGCGGCCAATGTTGATAATTGATATGTTTGTAAGCACTATAAGTCGTGTGTGTGTGTGTGTGTATATATATGTATATGTATAGATATGGCCTTGCTCATATATATGTGGAACCATGAAATCTTTTTTCCATGATATGCGTATCGTATCCATTGTGCAAGGGACCACATACCTACATTATTTGAGCTATTGGTAGTGTGCCACTAGTTGACATAAAGTGTCATTTGAAGCAACGGTTGGAATTGGTTGATACATTATTAATGAAAAGGGCTCCAAGCTTATGGTGATTTATTGTGGAAACCTGTCAAATTGTACAGGCTTTGCATAGTACTGCAGGTTGGGTATGGTAGGCAAAGTCTTATGGCAATGGTCAAGGTCGGTGGCTTATTTATTGATTTTCCTTTTCTTCATTGTGTTTTTTGCCCTTTCCTTATCTTGTTGTGATGGTGTGTTTCACCCTATAGCTGAGTGTCGAATTATTGAAACTTTTTGTTAATAGTGGGGTCACGGGGCCTACCTAATGACTGGTGAGAGTGGTGATGTTGAATCTCCAGATTTTTACGACACAGAAAGCCATTCCAACTTTTATGTCATTTATTTTCTCATCTTTCATACCTTTGGCTTGGACTTTGGATTGAACCAATTTTTCTTTTTTCAATTCTGACAGTTTTGTTGGATTTTTCAATATTTCCTTCTAAGAACAATCAGAATGGTTCTCTCTTTACTGTATTTATTTTTTTGATTCGTTGATTGATTTGCTTTCTCCCTGATCAGAATCACTGCCTCGAGGGAATTAAAATCGTACCTTTAAAAGTTCAATTAGATTTAATCGGACAGCTCTTAATTTTTTTCCCACTATATCTGATGCCTCCACTGAGATTCAAACAAACAGACAACCACTTTTGCTTCGTAGTTTTTGCTTCAAAAAGTGTAACGTGTTTGGTATTTTGCAACAAATATAGGTTACCAAAACATATTTTCTTGAATGGTATTGAACACACTCCAGAGTATAAACATCTCCAAAGTATAAATATTAAGAGGCCGTTACCCTAGGTATCAACTAAGAAAGCATTAAAGCAACAACTAATAGAAAAATTTATATGCTATTGATTTTCAGTTAAAGTGTGGATTAGGGCGAGAAATGGGTCATCGGTTGATAGTAAGATGATAATTAATCTAACATTAAATAATATTATTATAAATGGATATATTTTTTTTAATTTTAAACTAATAATATTTTTAATTTAATATTAAATAATAAGGTCAATTTTGACATTTCACAATCCATTTAACGGGTTTGTCTTAATTTGGGTTAACTTGAAAAGTTTTGTTAGTTAAGTGAGTATTTTAATTTTATTTTTTTCTTGAACACGACCAAGAAACGAACACAACAAAAATACGTTTTTAGATTCCTTTAGAATAAGGGGATTCAATATGATTTAAAATATATTATCGGTAAATTGGATACGTAATATAAAATTAAGAAAACAAAAATAATGAACATCTAAATCTAAGTTTCAAATTAGAGATTTCATGGTTATATGGACAATATGAGTTAATTAGAAGCATAATATAAATTTAAGAAAATAAAAATAACAAACATATAATTATAAATTTTAAATTAGTGATTTCAGTCATGACTATATGAATAATGAGTAAAATTTGTTATTTATATGTATAATAATATATTATAATATTATTTTTTAATGTATCCATGTTGTATTCGTATCTTATTTTTAAAAAAATTTGTCGTATCGCCCCTTATCTTATATTATATCGTATTCGTGTTCCGTATTCGTATTTATGCTTTTTACGATTTTTCATTGCTTTTATTTTTTCATCAACCAATCATTTGTTTATTTACGCCATATTGCGTGTTTTTATTAGAATTACTCTTTTAAATTTTGATTTTGAAATAAGGGTTTGTGCTATCTCTCTGATGCATACTTGATTTTTTTTTTTTGGAGACTTTCAGACTAAGCTGAGCTGATTTACACACTCATTTTTTTTTTTATGAGTCACAATGGTATGTCACATGGCTATTTTTATTTTATTCATCCTTTTTATTACTTAATGCATGATAATATTCAATGATCTCTGAGTGACAATGGCATGGTTACTTTTATTTTATCATCCTTTTAATTACTTTTTTTTTTTTCCTCATCCTTTTTATTACTTGGGCATAAAGCATTTGGTGTTTGATGAGATTATCAACCTTAATAGTAGTAGAGGTAAACACTAAAATTCCCTTATTACACTTTCACATACGCGCGCGCACACAAAAATAAAATATATCTATATCTATCTGTATTATTATTATTAAAAGTATGAAAAAAATTAGTAGATTATTTATTTATATAATACAGTTTTAGAAATATAAATTAAACTTTTTTATTCTATTCGAATAATACAAATTTAACTTTTTTATTTTCTTTTTAACTCTTTCTAAAATAATAATTTATCCATTTTTAATATTGAGTTTCAGTACATTATTGATATTTTCTATTATAATATTATAGTTAAATTTATCTTTTCTATTCCATTTGGTTTCAAACTCCTCTTAAATATAAATCTACTTTTTTTTTTTTTTTCTAATTCTATTCTCTTTGTAGTTCTTTCTATTATAATAATAATTTTATATCGAGTAGTCAAGTACTAATAGACTTCTAAATTTTTTATATGTATAATTAAATTATAAATATTGTAATAATGTTAATAGACTCCTCAACTCAATCTACAAATCCAACTTTGATCCAACTTTGTGGTGACAATTTAGCTGAACTTACTCTATATAGACTATAAATGTTGTATATAATTATATACATACGTATGTATACGTATGGGTGATTGTATTCTCAAGATCCAGTTTCGAGACAAATTGGCCTGTCCATATATCATATATGCATCAACTGTGAGAATGATATTAAATTCTGTTTTAGGTATTTGACTTGATGTGATTAGGTATGTTGTTTGTTTTAATTTTAAGATTTAATTACTTTTTATATTTATGTTTTGATTGTGATTTTTAATTCATTAATTTTGATATTTCTTGTGAAAAAATCGCCTAATTAATTGATTAAAATGGACCTTTTATTTTTATTTTTTTATTTTGCCAATGAAGTCTTTTGGATGATAGAATTCGTTGAGTTTTTAACTTATTTTATTAATGTTTGCAAGTCTACATTGAAGATATTTTTATTTATTTTTTATTATGTAGTTAACTTTTTTTTTTTCCTTATTATGTAGTTAACTTGAGCAAGTAGAAGTTATTTTGAACAAAACAATTGACTTCAAGGATGCTTTTCTAGTTACCGAAAAAAACAAGACAATTTGACAAAATTTTGTTTTTATTATTATTTTTTATATATAAAAAAAAAAAGTCGAGCTCAACATATAATAAAAAGGATCCGTTGTTTTTACACATTACCACCATGAATTAAAAAGGGTTAGTTCTTTTATAATAATAGTTTCTTTTATATTTTCAATGTTATTTATTTATTTAATTTTTTTTTGGGAATCTTACTATAATAGATTTGACTTTTAGTTTTCGGTTTACGGTAATTTAGGGAGGTTAAGTGTATAAAACATGCTTACAATGCATATCACACCTCTCACGTGCAAAAAACTATCATAAAGTTTCAATTTAGTTCAAATTGGTTCTCTGACAAATTTAAACCCTAAGTTAACTAAATTACCTTGAACCATTTTATAAAATATATAAAAATAAATAATTTTGTAAAATGACCGAAAATGACACTATTGAAAGATGTCCTTCTCGTGCAAAAAATACCCCTAAAGTTTTAATATGTTGCAATTAGGTTTCTCTACAAATTTAAACCATAAGTTGACTAAATTACCTCTTAATGAAACATTTTATAAAATATATAAAAATATATAATTTTATAAAATGACCGAAAATGACTATTGTAGGAGGCAATGGATAAATAAAGATAAAAATATAAAATGAAAAGAAAAGTATAAAAGAAAAGTAAAGATAAAAATTGAAAAAAAAAAACAAAAATAAAGTGCAAACTAATGAAAATAAAATTTTCCAAATTTCGAAAACCAATGCGCACTGATATTGGGAAATTTTATTTTTTATTATTATTATTTTTATATATATTTTTAACAGTGTTGCTACGAAAAAATAAAAAATAAAGAAAAAAATATTTAGTAGAAAAGAGTAAACTGGAATCTAAAAAAATTCAAATCCTTATTCTACGAATTTTCAAAAATTTTTAAAAAAAATTGTTTAGAGATATATATAGAGAAAAAAGTTTCAAAAATTTAATGTGCACATAACACCCTTATATTATGAGATTAATATTATATATACCCCCTTGAGCATTTTCGGAAGAGTAAAAGGGTACTACATCATTAATTTATGTCAGATGGGATATTTTTGCATAATGTGAAAAGATTATGGATATTTTTTGCACATTTTTTCAAATAGAGATAAAAATACTATACGAAGTATACTTTTAGGGTTATTTTCTACACTTTTCCCTAACTTATAAACACCAATAACAAGAATTCTGTAACGACCCTTACCTTAGCTAGACACAATATTGTCCGCTTTTGGCTCACCTAGACCAGAGACTTCCTAAGGGGTCACCCATCCTGGTACTACTCCATGTTAAGCACGCTTAACTCTGGAGTTCTGGTATGTTCATGGCCAGCAAGGCTTTAAAACGCGTTGTGTCATAGAAGGGTGTTGAATCTATATATAACACTTGCCCCATCCACACCCAGGCGATGTAGGATTGTGCACCTCTAGCTCACCCAGTGTAGTAGCCTGCCAGTGCCTCGCACCCGCCCACATTGGGTAGCCACAATCACTCCCCCCCCTTTGGGCTAACGTCCCTGTTAACCAAACTTTTGGCTGGGCCAGACTTTGATACCATTTGTAACGACTCTCACTCTAGCCAGACACAATATTGTTTACTTTTGGCTTACCCAGACCAGAGACTTCTCAGAGGGTCACCCATCCTGGTACTACTTCGGGTTAAGCATACTTAACTCTGGAGCTCTGGTATGTTCATGGGCAGCATGACTTTAAAATACGTTATGTCATAGAAGGGTATTGAATCTACATATAGTACTTGCCCCATCCACACTCAGGCGATGTGGGATTGTGCACCTGTAACTCGCCCAGTGTGGTAACATACCAATGCGTCGCATCCGCCCACGCATACTCGCCCACGCATACTCGCCCACATTGGGTCGCCACAAATTCCATTCCATTCCTATTTATTATTCTTTCTCATCCTTATCGTTGTGCAAGTAACACAAATTCTTCTCATTTTCTAAAAATCAAGTAAAAATTTATATATACTATAATATAACATGAAATAAAATACTATGTCTATTTAATTAAAAATTAACATTTAAAATCATTCAATTTAACAAAAATTCTATACTTTATTTTTATAATATATTTTTACTATCTTAAAATTCATTATCTTTCTATTGCTATAATTTAAATTCCTAAAATTTTGAAAAAAAAATAGTTTCATACATAACTCTTCCACCCTTATCCTCTTCCTATACCCCAAAATCAACATTTAAAATGATTCAATTTATCATAAACTCTAAAATAACATGAATTTCATTCTCATCCTATATCTTCTTTATCATTCTTACACCTAACACAAAATCTTTTAATTCTCTAAAATTCAGAACAGACAAAAAAAAAAAAAAAAAAAAATCAACACTATGATATCACTTCAATTAAAAACATTATAATATTAACTCTAAATTTCAAAAGCTTAATTTATAACTTTGTTGCAATTATTATTAATTTTTTTTAAGTTAAAGCAATTATGAACACACCATTCCTTCACCGAGGTTCGAACCCCTGACCTGATAAAGGGGTGATACTGTTGGGCCAATTGGTCTTTTGGTAACTTTGTTGCAAATTACTAACTCCAAAGTCCAAAAGTTTAATTTGTAATTTTGTTACAATTAGATTTTATTTACGTATAACGTATGCACAATTTTACTAGTATATATATAAACATCACAAGGCTGAACTAATTTAAAATTATTTATATTTATAAAATAAAAATAAAAAAATTATAACAATAGTCATCCGATTCTATAAAATTTTGCAATTGTTATAATAAAAAATGTAATGCACCAGGCTCTTGTTGTTAGGTGTTGATGTGAAATTTAGCACAGTCCAGAGCTAAGGGTGTGGTGTCAGGAGGGGGCACTCAAAACAATCAAGTTAGTACTTAAGTGATCAATATAAGTCAAAGAAAAAACTTTGTATTTAATTGTTGACATCGTATCCGACCTCTCTTTTTGTAAGAGAATTAATGGTGGTGTCCACTTTTGAACTTGTTCCATTTCCTTGCCCATCACCTAACGGAAGAGGAAGAGTCATTTAAGAAAGTATTTGTAGCGTCTTGCCATAAATCTATTTCCATTGTATTGTCATTGCAAATTATTGGGAGATACTCTATATATGGGAAGGGTCCCTTGAGTGATGTTCAACCTAAATCACACAATCCTTCTCAACATGTGTTACTCTCACGCTCAGAGCGCGTTCCCGTTCTCATGCTCCGTGCGCGCTTTCGCTCAAATTCTCACTGATTATGACTTAATTCTGCCGCTCTCACCCTCCCGCTCTCAAATTCCCTCTCGCTCCCGCTTTATGTGACTTAGTGTCCGACTCCCTTAAATGATTTTTCTTAGACTTTATTATGGGTCAAATATTTCGTATTAGTAGGGATCAAGAGAAATTCAATAAAAAAAGGTAATGGTATTCACATTTCATTTTTTTCCATTTTCATTTTGAAAGTGAAATGACATAGTTACCCTTAAAAAGCAAACTATAATGTTCCGTTTGGTAGGGCGCAAGAAAATTGGATGATAGGGAGAGAAGAGAAGAATGAGACATTCATAAGGAATAAATTGTGTACTTTCCTCTATTTATTTGGCTGAATGGAAGAGAGTAGAATGAAATAATACCTTATCTTATTTGTTAGGAGATAAGGAAAGAGAAAATGTTATTTTTAAGAAATGCTTTGTAGTTTAAAAAATTTTATAACTATATTGCCTCTCCTTCCTTTGTGCATTCCATTCGTATTTGGAGAGAAGAAATTTTGTGAAGGAGGAAGACTGATGACTCATCTATCATCTTTTCTCTTCTTTTTCTCTCTCCTTACCTCCTTTCTACCAAATGAAAAAAAATTTGTTTATTCTTTCTTACCAAACAGACCATAAAATTATTCTAAACAATTTGTCAAGCAATTTATTTAAAAATTAGAGTGTGTGGAAAATTGAAGGATAATTTACACAAACCTCCCCTATGGTTTGCCATAATTACTCGGACCTCCCATAATTTTGAAAATATCCTACGCAGACCTCCCTTTTGTTAGAGTTAACGGCAGTTAACGATAAAAATTGATGATGTCATCTACTATTCTTACTAAAATTTCTAAAACACCCTTATCCATACCAATTGATATATATATATATATATATATATATATATATACTCTGCATCCAATTCAACGGTGTCGTAAATTCCACACCAGAGATTTGACCATAAAATCATCACGCCGTTGAATATTTTGTTACTTAACAAAACTACTAAATCCTCCAAAAACAAGTTTTGATCTAGAAAATTCCCGAAAATCACAAAATCCCAAAGACCCGATAGTGACACAATTCTGAGTTATTACTCTTTCTTTCTCTGTATACATGCACACACGCTAATATATGCACAAGCCTCATATATGATCTTCATTTAGTCCTCTTTCTTTCTCCATATATATATTTATTATTTCGGTAAATTTCTTTATGTATATTTATTTTTATTTTGGTAAATTTCTATCTGTATATATGCACATTTAGTCCTCAATTGGCAGTAAAAACCCAAACACAGGTAGAGAGAGAAAGATGAGAAGAGAAAGGTAGAGGAAAGACTAATTGTAGAGAGAGAAAGAGAAGGAACTAAATCTTGCAGAGAGAGAAAGAATTTGCAACATCTGTAAATTTTCTAAATCTGTTGAAATCTTGTAGAAAGAGAAAGAATTTGCAACCTCAACAAATTCACAGATCTTTTCTAGACCATTCGCAGATCTTCAGGCCTCCCCAATCGAAGCAAACGTTGCCGTTGCAGAGAGCCCAGAGTTTCAGATGGGTAGTTTAGTAATTTCAGATGCCAAAGAGATGGTATTTCCGTAATTTTGACTGATCCGTTAGTGTATTTAACGGTCCGTCACACATAAGAGAGGTCTGTGTAGGATATTTTCAAAATTAGGAGAGGTTTGAGTAATTTTGGAAACAAGAGGGGAGGTCCTTGTAATTATGGCAAACCATAGGGGTGGTTTGTGTAAATTATCCAAAATTGAAGTGTGTATTGATTCAATAAATTTGAATTGAACAAATCAGCCATCTTGTGGCTGTAGTTTAGTGGTAAGAATTCCACGTTGTGGCCGTGGAGACCTGGGCTCGAATCCCAGCAGCCACATAAATAGTAAATCTTTTTCATTTTCCTAAATGACCTTAAAATCCTCCTGTCGAAACGACAACGTATTTACTTGAAAATCACACACTCTCCTTCCCTGCAGCAGTTGTCTCCAGCCACACTTCCAACACTCTGTAAAGACTCGCCGATGGAGAAGAATCTGCAAGTGGTGGCAAAGTAAGAATTGCTCGATCATCTTTCCTTGTTTTTTTTTTTTTTTTTGTCAATCAACATAGTTTTGATCCATCAATATCGTTTGATCTCATCTTCTGCAATAATCGCTGTAAATTCTAGGGTTTATTTAGATCTCTTATCCATTTATATTCTATTCTAATGAGATAAATATGTAAGTTCACTTCTAGTTTTACCAGCTGAAGATTAGAGATATCTATTGTAATTATGTTTTTATATAATTGTTGTTTGATACAGATATACAAATTTAAATTTTTATGTTTCTTTTTGGTGATTAGGCAATTCAATCGCAATTTTGTTGCATTTTTTTGCTTTCTGACATGTTTATGCCAATCCTTGTTTCGGACCGCGATTGCTCGAAATTTTTGTGCCTATGTTTTTGAGCTGTCTCGGGAGCATATAGCGTTTTGTACAATTTCTGAAATTGATAGTATAAAATAGAAATAGCTCATGATCAGAAAATTAGAGCATTATATTGGGCATTGTGGTGTTTGTTTTTCACTATCTTCTTAAAATACGTGGATAAACTGGAGATTATTCCCCTTTTTATTCTATGTATATGATTATATGTGTGTAAATATATGTATGTGTGTATATATTTATTTCACTCAGTTGTTGACTGAGTGGAATGTATGTCTGCTCAATATCGTTGATTTATTATTATGGTTGCATCTTAGTTTGTGCTTAATTCGGATTATCTTGGCTATTTTCATGTGAAATATCATACTGATTTTTCATTACTATAACTTTCAGGTTTCTATAATTGAAACATTTGCTTGAAATTACCTAAACTGGTTCAGTCAGTTACATTATTTTGTTCTCTGAGCATTGAGAATAGGAATGGGGAGTAGCAATGAAGAAAAACTCAGGTTTTGTATTGATAGAGGGGGTACTTTCACTGATGTTTATGCTGAAATTCCGGGTCAGTCTGGAGGTCGAGTTATGAAGCTGTTGTCTGTTGACCCTTCTAACTATGATGATGCTCCCATAGAAGGAATTCGGAGAATTTTGGAAGAATTTACTGAGAAGAAGATTCCCCGGACTTCAAAAATCCCCACCGATAAGATAGAATGGATTAGGATGGGTACTACCGTGGCAACAAATGCACTGTTAGAGAGAAAAGGGGAGAGGATTGCGCTGTGTGTGACTCGAGGTTTCAGGGATCTTCTGCAGATTGGTAATCAGGCTCGCCCAAACATCTTTGACCTCACTGTTTCAAAACCTTCGAATCTTTATGAGGAGGTTATAGAGGTTGATGAGAGAGTTGAGCTTGTTCTTGACAAGGAGGAATCAAACCCGGATAATAAATCACTAGTTAGAGGGGTTTCAGGGGAGCTTATCAGAATTGTGAAGCCACTCAATGAAGAAGCTCTAAAGCCTTTACTGAAAGGTCTGTTGGAGAAAGGAATTAGCTGCCTAGCAGTGGTGTTAATACATTCCTACACTTACCCACAGCATGAGATATCTATAGAAAAATTAGCTGTGAATTTGGGCTTCAAACACGTTTCTTTATCATCTGCTTTGACCCCTATGGTTCGAGCCGTACCTCGGGGCCTAACGGCTAGTGTGGATGCCTATTTAACCCCAGTTATCAAAGAGTATTTGTCAGGGTTCATTTCCAAATTTGATGAAGGGCTGGGGAAGGTAAATGTTTTGTTTATGCAATCTGACGGAGGGCTTGCACCAGAAAGTAGATTTTCAGGCCACAAGGCAGTTTTGTCAGGTCCAGCGGGTGGTGTTGTTGGTTACTCACAGACTCTATTTGGGCTTGAAACAGAAAAGCCCTTAATCGGGTTTGACATGGGTGGTACATCTACCGATGTGAGCCGTTATGCAGGAAGTTATGAACAAGTTCTTGAAACCCAGATTGCTGGAGCCATAATCCAAGCACCTCAGCTTGACATAAACACTGTTGCTGCTGGTGGTGGCTCAAAGTTGAAGTTTCAGTTTGGAGCTTTCCGAGTGGGACCAGAATCGGTGGGCGCACACCCCGGTCCAGTGTGTTATCGGAAAGGCGGGGAGTTGGCTGTTACTGATGCAAATCTTATTTTGGGATTTGTAATTCCTGATTATTTCCCATCAATTTTTGGCCCCAGTGAGGATCAGCCATTAGATATTGAGGCAACCAGAGAAGAATTTGAGAAACTTGCAAAGCAAATTAATTCCTACAGAGAGAGTCAGGATCCATCAGTAAAGGACATGACAGTAGAGGAGATTGCACAGGGATTCGTGAATGTTGCTAATGAAACAATGTGTCGTCCAATACGGCAATTAACTGAGATGAAGGGCCATGAGACAAGGAACCATGCTCTTGCTTGCTTTGGAGGTGCGGGGCCCCAACATGCTTGTGCCATTGCAAGGTCATTGGGTATGAAAGAGGTACTAATTCACAGGTTCTGCGGAATTTTAAGTGCATATGGGATGGGATTGGCAGATGTTATTGAAGAGACACAAGTGCCATATTCTGCTGTTTACGAACCTGATTCTGTCCATGAGGCCTCTCAAAGAGAAGCAACTTTGTTGAAGCAGGTAAAGCAGAAGCTGCAAGAGCAAGGGTTTAGAGAGGAAAACATCACGACAGAAACATACTTAAATTTGAGGTACGAGGGAACAGATACTGCCATCATGGTAAAGAGACAAACAAATGAGGATGGGTCAGGACATGACTATGCTATTGAATTTGTTAAACTGTTCCAGCAAGAGTATGGATTCAAACTTCAGAACAGGAATATCGTTATATGTGATGTAAGGGTTCGTGGAATCGGAGTCACTAATATTTTGAGGCCACGGGCCCTAGAGTGTGGCTCTGGTGCCCCCAAAGTCGAAGGGGCATACAAGGTTTACTTCAAGAATGGGTGGCACAATACACCTCTATTCAAGCTTGAGGGTCTGAGTTACAGACATGTCATTCCTGGCCCTGCAATAATCATGAATGGTAATAGTACTGTGATAGTAGAACCCAACTGTAAAGCTATTATTACTAAATATGGCAACATTAAAATTGAAATTGAGTCAACAACTAGCACCATAAAAGTGGCAGAAAAAGTTGCAGATGTTGTGCAGCTCTCAATCTTCAATCACAGGTTTATGGGTATAGCTGAACAGATGGGACGTACCCTACAGAGAACTTCCATATCAACAAATATCAAGGAAAGGCTAGATTTCTCTTGTGCTCTCTTTGGACCTGACGGAGGACTAGTCGCCAATGCTCCCCATGTTCCTGTGCACTTAGGAGCTATGTCCAGTACAGTACGGTGGCAGCTTAATTATTGGGGTGACAATTTGAATGAAGGTGACGTTTTAGTTACAAATCATCCTTGTGCTGGAGGTAGCCACCTACCTGATATAACTGTTATCACACCTGTCTTTGATAAGGGGGAGTTGGTATTCTTCGTGGCAAGTAGAGGACATCATGCAGAGATTGGGGGTATCACTCCTGGAAGTATGCCACCTTTTTCGAAGTCCATCTGGGAAGAAGGTGCTGCCATAAAAGCATTCAAGCTTGTAGAGAAGGGGATCTTTCAAGAAGATGGGATCATCAAACTTCTCAAATTTCCATGTTCTGATGAATCAACTCATAATATTCCAGGAACACGTAGGATTCAAGACAACTTGTCAGATCTTCGAGCACAAGTAGCTGCAAACCAGAGAGGAATTTCCCTTATTAAAGAGCTTATTGAACAGTATGGTTTGGAGACTGTTCAGGCTTACATGACCTATGTGCAAGTTAATGCAGAAGGGGCAGTGAGAGAAATGCTCAAGTCAGTTGCCGCTAGAGTTTTATCAGAGTCAGCTAAGCTCGGGGAGAGAGGTTCTGTGACCATTGAAGAAGAAGATTACATGGATGATGGTTCTGTTATACATCTAAAACTCAATATTGATCCTGAGAGAGGTGAAGCAGTTTTTGATTTTTCTGGGACCGGCCCAGAAGTTTATGGGAATTGGAATGCACCTGAAGCAGTTACAGCTGCTGCAGTCATATACTGCCTCCGCTGTCTGGTGGATGTTGAGATTCCTCTTAATCAGGGTTGTTTGGCTCCTGTTAAAATCCATATTCCTGTGGGATCATTCCTCTCTCCAAGTGATAAGGCAGCCGTTGTGGGAGGTAATGTTCTTACGTCTCAGAGAATAACTGATGTTGTACTCACTGCATTTCAGGCTTGTGCCTGTTCTCAGGGTTGCATGAATAATCTTACATTCGGGGATGACACTTTTGGCTACTACGAGACAATTGGAGGTGGAAGTGGGGCTGGCCCCAGCTGGGATGGGACCAGTGGAGTCCAATGCCACATGACGAATACTCGTATGACTGACCCAGAGATCTTTGAGCAGAGGTATCCAGTTATTTTGCATAAATTTGGACTGAGAGAGAACAGTGGAGGTGCTGGACTTCATACAGGGGGTGATGGGCTTGTAAGGGAGATAGAATTCAGGCGCCCAGTTGTTGTGAGCATTCTTTCTGAAAGGCGCGTTCATGCACCAAGAGGACTAAAGGGAGGAAAAGATGGAGCTCGTGGAGTTAACTACCTTATTACGAAGGACGAGAGGAGAGTATATCTTGGAGGTAAAAACACAATTGAGTTGCAGGAAGGAGAAGTTCTTCATATTTTAACTCCTGGTGGTGGTGGATGGGGATCTATTTGATTCTCCATTGGGCAGATTTTCAAAAGGTGAGTTTTGTTTTTCATGCTGGCAAATGTTGTTTTCTTGTTCTTCAGGGTTTTATAATAACTTGATTTTAGAATACAGGGAGTCAAGAATGTAAGAAATACATGGTTGCATGGGGGATGAAGTAATTATCCTTCACCTATAAAAAAGGGAAAAATAAAAGTTTTTTTTTGTCCTCTTTTTCTTCCATAGAACAATAAAATTCTCGATGGAAATTATGAAATTCGAATGTTGTTGTGAACTATGTTGGACATATGAAAAATGTGAAAAGATTCGCGTGCTTGCTTTTTGTGCAATCCCTTTCCATGTGCATTGGAGCTCAAATGGTAGTTGTTTAGCCTGTTTTAGATGAAATCAAAGTACTCTTTGACTGGCAGAAAAAAGAAAAATTGGGTCTCATACGCTCATCTCAACAGCTCGGGATCACTTTAAAAAGAAATCATCCTGGTTCAGTTAGCAGAAAAAACTAATGCCAATGTCTCGGATAAAGTTGTACCGCCTATTTTCGAGCCGATTTGTGAATTTGGGATTGGAAGAAATTTAGTTCACCATTTTAACATGATGTCTTTCAATTCCAAATCCAAAATACTGATTGGGTGCCTCAAATAAAATATAAGGGTTTTAAAAAACATATCTTAAGCTATTTATATTCATTTCACTTTCCATCCGGATCCGATGTGGGAGCAACGCTCACGTTGCAGTTGGGCCACCTTGATTACCTGAATGAGCTCATCCAAATGCTTTCGGGCCAGGTGCTTGGTGTGACACCAGATCAAGGACTGAATCCGACTTTGATACGAACTGTATAACCACTCATTTATACCCATTTCACTTTTCATCCGAATCCGATGTGAGACAAGTACCCTTATAATAATAAGAAACCTTTAGGCTAGACAAATTAAACTAAAAAAAAAAAGAGATTTATTTCTGATGGTTTGTTTTCATGGAGAACAACCCTAGAAAAGAGTCGTCAGGAAAGTTCATAGATTAGTGGATGAGTTTGAATAGAAAAATAAAAAATAAAAAAAACTTCCAATCTCAAATCATGTGTGGCCTTCTTTTGGTCTAACACGTGTTTTAATTTTTTATTATTAAGGTGATAGTGAGATTTGAACTCGAGACTTTTGACTTTGATACTTTATTCACAAATTATTAGAAAGGGTGTAATTGTAATAGTTAAAATTATTAATAATCGTATATGCGATTTATTTATATTAGTGCAAGGGAATGTATGAGCGTATAGGGAGGGAGGCCAAGCACTTCCCAGTTTTTTCATTTACAAATATCTAATTAATGTTGTTGTGTTGTAGAGAAATGCGAGGTAGTAGAATATTAGAGTTTGTAGACATGCCTAGAGAATTTTTAAAGAAGATTTTGAAGTGTAAGGTATTTGATGGAATTGTAAATATTATAGCTATAAATTGGTGAGAATGTGATCTATCATCACAAGTTATAATAACGAATGGAGAAAGGCACGGTTAACCAAATGTGTGTGTTGTTTTAGAGTTTTGTTGAGAGTTGTCATACTAGATATACATTGAAATGTTAAATAATGATTTAATTACGGCATCAAATATATTCTAGAGATTTATCATAAGGACATCCAACAAGTTGTTTTATTTTTGGTCAATAATATACTTCCATCAAAGTTGATACAGTTACCAAATATACCCCAATAGTCTCTTACATAATTTGAAGTGAAGTCAAAGTGAAGTCAAATACTAAGTTTCAAACTCATTAGAGCATCTCCAACGGGGCTTCCAAATGGGTTGCCAATTTCAAAATATAGCAAGTGGGTTAAAATTGAGCTCTCCAATGTGCTACCAAAATTTACATTTGCCATTTCTTGTGCCAAATCTAACAAAACATATAGTAATAGCTATTTCTATATCTCTCAATCTTATCCGTCTCTCTACCTTTCGTTGCCCTGTCGTCTCTCTCTCCCTCTCATCCATCTGTAACGACCGGCCATTATCGATGGTGACCGGCGCTTAAAGGCGACGAACACCGCATATTGTTTCTGTTGTCTAATTTTTGTATTTTCTCTTCTCCTCTCATCCTCATATATGTGTGTGTGTATATATATATCCATATCTCTTTTCAGGTCGGTAATTTTGTGGATTTTCTCCTATTTCTATTGTCTGATTTATGCACCATGGTAATTCTTTTTTCTTTTTCTTTTTTAATTATTTTATTCAATATCATCTTGTTGAAAATAGGTCTCTCTGGTTTTGATTTAAAATATTTTTTGTTATTAATTTTAAATTTTTGCAAATGGGTTTTGTAATTTTTTTTATGTTGTTTCCCTAATGGGGTTGTCTACTGCATTTGATCTAAATCTTGTGGTATGAAAGATGTTGCTCTTCATGTATTCAACGAATTGCTTCACTTCTTTATTTGATACTACTATCATATGAAAAAAAAAAAAAAATTGTAATTTGATGGAATTAAATCAATTGTTCTTCTAGCATTCTTATATTAATCTAATTTTTGGATTTTTTGTTTAGATTGTGTTATTATTATTAGTATTATTCTTGAAAAAATTTAAAAAAAAAAAGGAGGGATTTTTACTTTGGGATATTTTTAACAATCTCTGTTGATCGACTATGTTTTTCATTATAGACAGTATGTTGTTGCTTCACTTAGTTGAATTTCATGTACTTCATATTGGAATTTTCTAGAATTCCTTTAATAGATTTTGAAATTTTGATCACATTAATTTTATTTTCTTTTATATCATTTTGTTTTATCTCTCTTTTTTTCTTTTGTTTTTTGTTTTTTTTTTGTTTTGGGTCATTTTTTGACCAAATATGTGGTGTAATATTTTATTTTAAATTTTAAATTTGAACTAAACTTATATAATTTCAAATCTAAGGCACCGATCGGGTATTCTCAAACATAACATTATTGATGTTTATACTGAAATTTTGGGTCAAATCTGAATTTCAGAGTTATGAAGCTGTTGCAACAAAAAAAAATAGGAGTCTCTCCTTTAAAAAATCATCCTGGTTCAGTCTGCAGTAAAAAACTAATGTCAATGCCTGATAGTATTTGCATGCACTCCCATATAATGATGTGCACAAATTAACAAAATGAAATCTAGTTACAAAATTTGAACACGATTGAAAAAACCAAAAAAACCAAAAAAAAAAAAAAAAAAGTAATGACTTTAGTTGAACTTGGGGATTTTTTTTTTTTTAACCCTTGCAAACAAAACAAGATTACACCACATGAGGATTACATAGTTGAGCTATTGTAAACTCAGAGAAGGGATCAACCCAACAAAAGCCAACAAACAAAGCCATTATAATAGAGTTACCCAAATACATTGCAAACAAATAGGCACACCACTGCTTTGTAACATTGCCTAGTTTATGTGGCGTATTAACTACATCACGGTTATGATGATTTGCAGATAACAAGTTTAGGCTTAAAGTGTGGGCCAACTGATCAGTAGGCCAATTGTACATCCCCACCAGCCCATCCAGATACTAAAAATTATCAGTAGTATCCATAAATAATGGGTCGAACACACTAGAACTGCTGGATTGGCTTCCTTCCCATGCACCATTATTACCATCATTACTATCTTTGACAGGTGGGCCAAAAACTGACACCACACAGTACGATGCGAAAAACAAGGACGACTGAACAACGCACATCGCCGTAACAAAGTGGAGTGCGAAAAACAAGGACGACTGAACAACGCACATCGCCGTAACAAAGTGGAGTGAGAGATCGCCGACGTGCTGCCATCCGCGTAAGCTCCATCATGTGAGCTCTATATGCAACAGATTACCCCCACCAATCATAGTTAGTAGTAACAAATATTCACATCGGATATATACTAACTTGGCCATTCATTCCGGCAACGTCCAGCCACGACCCATAGTCAGTGGCGGCTAGATTATACACAACGCTGATCGGAGCAGAAGAAAGGACCGACAAACATGCGACATCATCATGGCCATGAACCAATAGAACATAGGCCGTTAAACCCCAGAGCTAATGAAGCATAAACATCACCCTTGCAAGATTGATGAACTTCGGGGCTAGATGTGCCCAAAAAGACATGGATGATTAGCTAGGAAACGCCGTCGACACCAAGATGGCAAAGGCAAATACAACCGAGTATTGTGATGACTGAAAAACCCAGTCACCAAACAGGAGCCTTCCCCCCCAGGGGAAGAGGAAAAACAAGGCAAGCATAGTACCCTGAAAACAGCAAACACCAGGAAACACATTACAGTAGATAGGAAAACAAAAGAAATAGGCACAATACCCGGATCAAAAGAGAAGAGCATCAAGGGATTGGGTCATAATCCGTCCATTGAGCGCAATCCCTGACTTTAATCGCCACAACTCCCTTGTACCCTTTCGACCGGACAACCACAGGAGTGACGGAGAGGAGAGTAGTAAGAATCCATCTCATAGAGAGCACACAAACTGAGATCCACCCCAAACTCTAATGACATAGAAAACCTTAACCCAGTAAGGAAACAGTTACTCTCAGATGAGACAAAGCAAACTTGTTAGAGTTATATATCACGCACAACTTGGGATTGATTTTAGTGTGCAACTTATGCGTACAGAATTTCATGTACAAAGGACCAAGTCCATGCAAATAGTTCAGCCAATGTTTAGGTCGAAACATGTTAAAAACCAATAGGTAGATGATTTTTTAAGCGACCACTTGGACCACTAGCCGTTTAATGCTTCAGTGTGGGACTTGCATTCAAGCCGAAATGTACCATTACCGATAGATAATTAAGTCAAATGGAAAAATTCTATTCCAACAATGTGTGTAGTTAAATTAATTTTATTCAAATCCACATCTGGACTTAAACGCAAGTTGATCACACATCCACTAACATACATTTTTTGTCTCAAATTCCAACCCTACTTCTTGAGAAGGAGAAGTTATACCAATGGATTAGATGCCATTTGGTAAAAGTGTTGGAACTTAATGAGTAACAAAATTGAATAAAATGTAATTTAAATTAGAAAAAGGCAAACTTTTTGAAAGAAAAAAAAAAAATCACTTATATATACCCATTTTATCCTTATTTCGATTCGATATGGGATAAGACTCTCTTTATAATATTTTTTTTCACCCAAATTCGCAATGTCCTCGTTGCAGTCGGGCCATCCTACCTATCCGGGCGGGCTCACCTGGACGTCTCCAGATCTGGAGAGCTTGGCGTGATACCAGATTAAGAACTAGGTTTGATACCAACTGATTTAAACTATTAGGTAGAACTACCATCTATTCATATATAATCCGATATGAGACAATACTCCATTATAGCATCTCCAATACTGTTTCATTTTGAGCTCTCAAACTCATAATTTGAGAGATGGGTAAAAAAACTACTCCAATGACCTTTCATTTGGCAGCTCTCTAACACCAAATCCAACCCCCCCCCCCCCCCCCCCCCCCCCCCCCCCACACACACACACACACACACACACACACACACACAAAATAATATATGAATTCTGAAAAAGAAAAAAAAAATTATGTAACAATATAATCAAATATATATATATATATATATATATATTTTTGACTTGAAATGTGCATAATATTAATATTACTGATACAAATATGAATGATGAGAATGGTAATTAAAAAAGAATACTGGTTGTGTCAAAAAATAGCATTTTGCATGAAATGTACCATTGGAGCAGAATTACTAAAATGTAGCATTTTGACACTGTAACACCTGTCAAAATATAAATAGCTGAAAATAACTTTTAACATTTGAAATGCTCTTATATCAACCGGGCAAATTTGGTTCGAATTGATTGGTGGTCTGGGTCGAATTAGGCCCAGATAACCCATAAAATGACATTTTTTGAAAAACCAAGGGCAAAAGCGGCCCCCATGCTCGAAATTTTCAAAATGAAAGCTGTGGTCCAAGTTTTGTTCAACAAAAGAACCACAATCCGCGACACCATGTAAATAATCCCTATTCACCGTGGATATAATCCCAATCGACGGTTCAAAACTGTTTGGACCAAGTGACACAGATCTCCATTTTCAACCGTAGATAAACAATCTAAATCCAACGGCATCAAATCCTTCCCCGGCCATTTCGAAACCCAAATACTTCCTATAAAAACTCTCCGTTCAATTCGCTCAATCAAATCACCATCTCTTCTCTGCAAAACCATCCTCTCATTTCGAAACCCTAGAACTCTTTCTCTCTCTCTAAAAATGTCCGGTCGAGGCAAAGGTGGCAAGGGGTTGGGCAAGGGAGGCGCAAAGCGTCACAGGAAGGTACTCCGAGACAACATCCAGGGCATCACCAAGCCTGCTATTCGCCGTCTCGCGAGGAGGGGTGGTGTCAAGCGTATCAGTGGTCTGATCTATGAGGAGACTCGCGGCGTTCTCAAGATCTTCCTCGAGAATGTCATTCGTGACGCTGTGACATACACTGAGCATGCCCGGAGGAAGACGGTGACCGCCATGGACGTGGTCTACGCTCTGAAGAGGCAGGGAAGGACTCTGTACGGTTTTGGTGGTTAAGTATGTGTTTGATAATTTTATTTGTGCCTTGGGTTTGGCGATGTTGGGTGATTTGGGATTTAGGGTTATGAGAATTTAGTTGTTGATGTAAATGGTGGCTTTAGGGTTAGGTTCTGGTGCTTCGTTTCAAATTGTTTGTACTGCTATCCTATTTCAGGATCGCCAATATCTCTAGGTTTTGTAATGAAATTGCCTTATTTAAATCAAATACTTTTGTAGCATTTGACGTGTTGGATTTCTTAGGTTTTGCAGAATGCTTAGCTTTCTGAAATTAATTTTAATTGCTGAATTTGGTGCTTATGAAATTATGCTAGAGGATTAGATTGCAGGAATGAGTTGAATTTCTCGTTAATAGCTTTAGATTCTGCTCATTCTCATCCCATATTGTGTAAGCAGCATATTGCTATGCCATGGATTTTATGATGTCCTTCCGTTTCGTCAGGAGTATGAATATTTGGAATCTATAAGCAGTCCCAAAAGTTTGCATTTCAAAGTAAAACACGGCAAAGTTCGAAATGAAATCTGACCAGTGAAGTAATAGCACAAACAGGACAGGTATGCAAACCACTTATATATCCAAAATTTGCAGATAATGATTCTGAAAACTAGGACCATCCATTTTTCATTTTCCCTGTCTGTGTCTGGTGTATGTACAATGGTAAGGGTAAAATGAAGAAAACTGCTGTGAATGTATGGCATCTGCTCAATAGCCAATTGCTGTCTTTTGTCAGCAATTTGGGTATGACCTTCTATAGCCAAAATAAATCTATTTGTTTCAATTGCGTATGCCAACATCAGTTCAATTCCATTTCTGAGATTATATAAATCGGTAAGAAGATTGGTACTTGGTACAAAGGAGGGGAAATAAACAGACAAGGGTTCCCTACAGTAAAGAGAACAGTTTTACATTAACCCGGGTACCATTCTAAAATAAGAGACAACAAAAGAAACCAGTTTTATAATAAAATCCAAGCAGTCATTTGGTGTATTTCTTTCTCCAGAATAAATAGTATGTTGGTTGAAGTACATCCATTTATGGGTTGAGCACGCAAGTCGTGTAGCAGATAGCCAAATAATCCACATGAGGAAGAATTGGGCTATGCCTTCAATTTGTTTGCGTTGCTTCTGTGTGGTACTTATCCAGTTCAGCATCCAGATCTTCTATAGATACCTTCTCACCGTGACCCCTACCTCGTCCACGAGTACTACCACCGCGGCTACCACCACGAAATTGTCCCATGGCACCAACTCTTCCTCGGTTGCTGTTGCACCATATAGTAAAAGACACAAGAAATTTATCAATCAGTAGTTAATGAAAGCATAACTCGTCAGAAGCAAAGTATAAAAAGGAAATGCTGATAAGTAATGTGAGAACTTCCACACTAAGGATAACTCTCATGAACAAACCATCGAACAAGGATTACCTCTTGCAACACCTACGACGAGCATGACCCAGGGAAGGGAAACAAGCATAAAAAAATAAACAAACAGTGTCTTGCATCTACCTTCTTTGAATATTAAAAAAAATCAGAAATCAAAGGACCAGTAATCATGATATTTAGATTCTCATTGCAAGAGCTATTGCAGGTGAATTTGACGTCTTCAAAATGTTAAAAGATAGGCATGCTCCACAGGAATGGGAACACATCCGCCCAACAACTAAAACATACAGCAACTTGAGAAAATACTGTAAGGACCAACATGAAGATACACGTGGGTCTTCATTTATTTGTACAGAAGGATAACCATTTTCCGCGGCAAATTTCAAAAAAACTTATAGAAAAACATATATATAATAAAAATATAGTACAACTAAGACCCAAACCTTCTTGGTGCACCAGTTTGATTTCCATAGAAGACATTTGTAGCAGGAGGCACAGTAGCAGAAGCAGCAATATTTCTTCCCACAATCTCGATTTGCATAGGCTTCCCATCTAGTTGAACATTATTGTATCTCTTGACAGCTGCCTCAGCATCTATTCGACGTGAAAAGACTACTTCTGCTGTTCCCTAAGATAAATAATCTTTCTTAACAATTTAAGGACACAAACAGTTACTGGAAGAACAAGACAACTCCAACTTGATGGGATACCTTTGATCTTCCACTCCTATCATAGTGAATAGAATATCGCTTTATATCACCAACCTCCGCAAAGAGCTCCTGTGCAGAAAAACAAATTCATTGAACCTCCATAAAGGCTTTACGGTTTTTCTCTTTCCATAAGAAGCAAAGGTCCATGTATAATGCAGAAGCCCATGGGTCAGGAAAGATTAAAAGACACCAATTACACACACATACTGACATATAGCCAACAACGTAACAAAATGGACAGCAGCTTTAGGTGCTTAACAATAGAAGTTTTGAAGTTAAACAAATCCACCAGCAAACCTAGAAAAAGAATTAACAATATAGTTATAGATAGAACATCCAAACCACTCAAAAAGAGAGAAGAAATCACCTATTACATGTTCTACTCTCCTTCAGGAACAAGGAAGATCGGACAACAATTAACTTTGTCGTACCTGACTATTATCTAGAAAAGCAAACAGGAAATAATTGGCCACCTCGGTAAAAAAGCAGCTTCTTGATTCTTTGTTTTACACTGTTACATGGATTCTTCCAAAGTAGGTGAAGTATGGAATACATGCCCGACACTTTTGGTTTGACACACCTAAAAAACCTATTATCTAGTAAAGCAAACAGGATTTAATTGGCCACCTTAGTGAAAAAGCAGTTTCTTGATTCTCTGTTTTATGCTATGTTACAAGGACTCTTCCAAAGTAGGTGAAGTAACCGTGTCTGACACACATTATTCAGATATGGGTATGAGATACATGTCCGATACTTTTGGTTGGACATGCACCAAAAAAACCTATCCGATAATTCCATTTTATTATAGGGTTAAAATCACAAAACCCCCATCTACTTTTAAAATTGTGCATAAAACCCTCAATAGAATCAAATAGGTCAGTCGACTAACAAAACCCAACATTTTACCCCAAACCCGTGATCGATCCATTAATTGGATTGTGAAATGACATATTTGACCTTATTATTTAATATTAAATTAAAACTTGAAAATTAGTTTTGTAAAGTGACGATTTTACCCTTTCATTATTTAATCCAAATTAACGCCACTACGTTGTTTTTTCACCGTTTGGCTGTAAAAATGGTCGATTCTAATGGAACCGGATGGGTGTACCGGGAATTGCTGTAGTTCCAAAGAATGATTCAAACAATATTCCAAATGGAAGATTGCAAGACCAGACGACTGTGAAGAGCTCTAGAATAAACACCTCTGGGTTCTTTTTGTATTTGAAAAAGGACTTCGGGACTGTTACTTGACTAAGAAGGAATGAACTACTTTTGAAAGTACTGGACTTGAATGTAAAACACTGTAATGTAAAGCAAAAAAGTGCAAGACTTAAGCTAAACATATTGAAATTGCATTGCAATGAAAAGATAAATTGTATTGAAATGATGTATTATTGCGTGTGTTGAACAGGCCTTTTAAGTAACAATAACATGCCTTATTTATAGAATTTGGTAATGGCAGTTAGCATGGGCAGTTTCATTGCCAACTTTAGATGCCTCCAAGTGGATTGGTTGGATTCATGCCATGTGTCTTACTGAATTCTTTAGCCTTCATAGTGCTTACACGTGTAGGACCATATTTTCCTACATTTCTGCCATTTTCAGCATGACTTTCCATTGGCTGGGAATAACCGCTATTCCAATGGAAATCCTCCATGTGTTCCACGTTTCCAGGTTGTACGCTCAACTTGCAGCCACCTTCTAGTCCACGTTTTGCCATTTCTGCTACTTATTCGCACGACATTCCACTGGAATCTTGCACATTCCATTGGAATAACCCCTCTTAAATTGGAAATTCTGCCACATGTCCCACTTAGAAGTCATGTCTTCCAACTGTTTACCTCTTGGCCTGCCACGTCTCCCATGACTTTCCATTTGCATGTAACTGCTTGCTTCCTTGGCTGCCACGTGTCCCAAGGCGGTTACTTCACCAAATGGCTTTCTTAGATGAATCCACGTGTTGCTTTATAATTGCACCCACGTTTGCATATCACCCTTCCACTGGAATTGGCCACAACAACTTTCCATTGGAATGTGACCGATAATTATGGTACAAATAGTTATTGTTGTGACCTTTTATTAAGCCACGTGTCCAACTTGGATTGGTTTTTAGCCAAAATCTTTATAAGATAGTGATTTCCACTGGAACGTTGTAGTACCTTCCATTGGAATCGACTAGGGCAACCTTCCACTGGAAAGTGGCTGATAATTATAGCGTAAACAGTCACCATACAAACAAACAGTTTCCTTTCCTCCGATTTCACGCACACCTTATATATATATATATATATCTCAGACTCTACCCATTCACTGATTCTCCTTAAAATAGAATCTTTTGGCTATATATATCAATAATCAGACTCCACCCACTGACGATGTGAAGCTCGGTGCCAGCGAATGAAGCAAGATTGTTGCGGCTGTCGCCAAAGCAGAGGTGACGACCAGAAATTCCGAACACAACGAGGGATGTTTTGACGACGACACTCAAGACAAGAAAGGATCACAACGACCATGGATTCACGATTCCGGCAAGGTGAAGTATTGTTCACTATATTGCAATTATGTTTTGACACTGATCCGAGAGTTAGTTTTCGTTTTCCGGCCAGGGAATACTACCCTATATGCGTACAGCTCAGAATGCAAGCGGAGCGCAGAGGTGGTGTTCGATAACTCGGTCGGAGATACAGTTTGCTCCGAGTGCGGTCTGCTCCTCAATTCGCACTCCATCGACGATTCCTCTCCTCTGAACGGAGAGCCTTCACCAACGAATCCAGCGACGACCCGGTTAGTGTTGGAGGACCCACCAACTCTCTTCTCACCGACGGTGAGATCTCCACCTTCTCTTGGAATTCTGAAACCTTTCTTCAATTCCATACGTTTTTTTGCTCCAAAATATTTTCCTGTGTATTGGGTATTTGAAGGTCTCTTTTGGGTTTTGTTAATAATCTTCTTAGGTCTTGTATAATTATCTCTCTCTCTCTCTCTCTCCACACACACACACACACACACACACACACACACACACACACACACTGTATATAGCTTGATCATATGGGGTCGGTCTTCAAATTTTTTGTCGGCAACCCAACGGAAGCGGAAGAAACCTATTCCAATTGTTGTTTTTGCAGCCATTGCCATTGTCTAAGTTTTAACCCTGATGTATCCTCAGGGGTATTTTTTTTTAACTTAAAAATAATAATTTTCAGCTTTTAATTTAATACTAAATATCAAGGTCAATTAATGGGTCAGTCACCGGTTTGGGGTTAAATGATGGGTTTTGTTAGTTGAGGCACCTATTTGATTCTATTGGGAGTTTTATGTACAATTTGGAAAGTAGATGGGGGTTTTATGATTTTAACCCTTTATTATATTACTACTTCAAATGAGTAAAATGCCTATATTTGTCACTAGGTTACATTATTACATTATTTTACTATAAAAAATAAAACAAAATGAATATTTAGCAGTGTGCATGTGTTCTTCTGTTTGGAGATTTGACACATCCGACGTGTGATACATACCCCATACCGGAGTCCATATAACATAGGTTTTGAATCAAATATATCTAGATGTCAGAGATAGTATAACTATCTTATATCTCATTGGGACAACTACTACTTTTATGGTGGGAGTGTGTGCGCGTTCCGGGGGTTAGGAATTGGGACCAATACCCAAAAAGGATTTTTCAATAATCAAGGGTTGTCAGCTGTACATAAGATATGAAGGTAGATCATCCCCCATAATTTTAATCTCTTGGAGATGTTTAATCAAAAATATTTCTTGTAACTCATAAATCATAATACTAAGAAACTATTGTCTTATGGTGAGTCTTTTTCCAGATTGCTGCCTAGAAAACTATCAAGTAATTTTACAGAATTATCAGCTTTATCTAACATCATTAAGCTCAAATCATGGTTTGGAATCTCAAAACCAATAGGATGATATAAAGTTAAAACATATATCAACCAATAGGATGACATAATGTTAAAACATATATCAATCAATAGGATGACATAATGGTCTGCAAACACTCTTATAACAAGCTCAATTGAAGTTTCTTATTATTTCCAGTCATTTCAAAATTTCAATTTACAAATCACTAGCTACCATAAACAACTAATATGTTTTAATCACTCACCAGAAGGAGGAAAAACAAAAAAATGCCAGCATGTTTAGATCTAAACCATAATTAATCAAGAAATTCAATGCCTCACACATAAAGTATCTTAGTTAAAGCACACTCACAATTATGTGTTTAGCAATTGACTAGCTTATAAATGCACAACTGGTGGCTCTATTAAGGTGCAAGTGCAACATCGTCCAACCACTATTACTTGACCAACACCTAAATATTTCTTAACCTAACCTTCTCAGTAGACATTAGAGCTTTCTACAAATTGTAAAAGCATATACTGATTATACAGTGATTTACATTAAGAACCAAGTAATTTAAATAAAGCACAAAATTGAATCATAATTCACAAAGTGGTAAATGTTTTCTTTCCCAAAATTAAAAAATAAAATAAAAAAATGTTACCTTAACGTCTTCATCAGAAACCCCATAATCCAAATTTGAGATGAGGAGTTTTGTACCAGTCTCTAACCCAGACACTCGAGCCACCGGCGTGGGGTAAGCGGCCGCATTATCGGTGAACATGTCGTGCTGCCACTTCGTATCCGGTGCTTGAACCTGTTCTTTTACATTCAACAACACCAAAACACCAAATAATCAGATAAAAACATACATGTGCAATGAAACAAACATATATATGTGTGCGCGAGCGAAAGGTATGAAGAAACCTAGGTTTCCTTAAGCTTACGTCTGCAGTTGGATACGGTGCCATTCGATTTGTTGTGCGATTTTGGAATCGACGTGACGGTCCTGGTCCTGAGTTTCGAGCTCTGCCCCTAGGGTTAGATCCTCCGGAGTTCTTGTTCATCTTTATGATATCATCAAGAGACTTGTCTAGGTTCGACATCTCTGAACTACTGTGGTACTGAGAAACAGATTCGGCAAAGCTTTTGGCTTCTGCTAAGTTAGGGAAGGGTTTAGACTTTCTGGTGAGAGGTGGCGGCTAGGGTTTTGCAAGTTGGAGAGAGAAAGAGGAAAAAAATGGACGTCTTGTGCGCTATTGGTGTCGTGGTGTAGTTGGTTATCACGTCAGTCTAACACACTGAAGGTCTCCGGTTCGAGTCCGGGCGACGCCATATCATTCTTATCATCTTTTGATGCTAGATATATTTTGCTTCATATTTGGTGTAAAATTGTAGGTGTATAAATAATATAAAATTATAATTATTACTCCCTCCATCTTAATTTAAGTGTCATTTATAGGGAGTATGGAAATAATTTTTAAGGGAACGTGTGAAACATGCCTTGTCTGAAAAATTATTAATTTGTCCTTTTAAATTTTAAATATTCAAGTTTAAATTTAAAGAACATATATAAGAAGATGTGAAATATATTGTTTGAAGAAGAAAAGTAACATTTATTTTGGACCAGAAACATGATACTCATTTTGAGATTGAAAAAATATTATTTTGCACATATTATGATTATAATGGTACGAAGATAAAATCCGAATACTTATTATATTATGGTTGTTTCCTTTTTATGTTATGTAAAATTTTAACTGTCAAGAATCTTATATAAAAATTGAAAAAAAGAAATGCTTGTACAGTTTTTTTTTTTTTTTTTTTTTAAGGTAAAAAAATGCTTGTATAGTTGTTTATGCTTCTCTGAATTGTTAGGAAAGCATGCTTGTACTAGGCTATCGACAAGTGGACATCGAATTAGGGCCACCACTGAGACACAGAATGTCACGTTGGGCTGTTGCAAAGGAGAAATTATTGTATGGACCAAGTCTATACACCTCACTTGCTGAGTTGGTGGACTAAAAATTATTTTTATATTCAATTTGCTACATCAACTTTGCAACATCTGTCTCCTCTTTCAGCCTCCCCAATCGTCTCCATCTTTATTCTCGTTCTCGACTCGATGCAGCTGCAAACTTCAAAATCTAAAAGAATCAGAAGTTCAAATCCCATATATCCGGAGCGACGAGCGGCGTTGACGGCTTTCTCGTCCTTCCGGGTGGCGGCGTTGGGAGCCTTCTTGCGGATCACCACCGGCTCCCAGTCTTGAGTGATTAGACCAATTCCTGACATCTCTTCTCTCTCTTTTTTTTCTCTCTCTCTCTGATTTAGCAACTTGCAAAGGAAGCGGGATTGCGATGGTGAGTTAAAAGGGTCGCGTGTGGTTGGGCCATCACGTGAGCGATCGGGTTGCGATGGTAGGACTGGTTGGACGGATTGTGCAGAGAGAGAGAGGGGGGCACGCTTGAGAGTTGAGAGACAGCGGCTGAAGCTTGCGAACAGCGAACTCGAACTGGAACAGCGGGGGATGGAAACTGAAAGATATGGGTTTTGATTTTTTGAAAAATCTGAAATGATATGCCGATATGGGTTTTGATATATATAGGTAATAGGTTTTGAACTTTTGATTCTTGCAAACAGATAGATAAACTGAAATATATGGGTTTTGAATTTCTGATTCTTGTAGATTTTGAAGTTTGCAGTTGCATAGAGAGAGAGGGCAAGTTTAGATCGAGTCGAGAACGAGAATAAAGATTGAGGCGATTGGGGAGGCTGAAAGAGGAGACTGATGTTGCAAAGCTGACATGGCAAATTGTATATAAAAATAATTTTTATTACATGTGTCTAGAATTAATTGGTGTAGTCCACCAACTCAGCAAGTGAGGTGTATAGACTTGGTCCATACAATAATTTCTCGTTGCAAAGATGGGCGCCTTGCCACGCTCACTTAAATTCCCACCCCCACAGAAAATAAAACAAACCAGGATATGCACAAAATAGTAGAAGATTTGAATGGTGCCTCACACGAATGGGTAGGAGAGAAATCAATTAAATTCCATTGTAAAAACTATAATTAGGGTGTCACAGAAGCACTTTACCCTAACTTACACAAAACGAGTATGGATAAGTGTTAGCCCCTTGACGGTTGTCCAAGGGAAGACATGGGCATTTCAAGGCCATGCCATGTCTTGGGAATACTTTGGCTTTGGTTAAACAGCCATGAGGATTGCTCAGGGGGTTGTCAGCGTGCACAAGATGCTCAGCGTGCACACAAGATGCTTAAAAGGATGCTCGGCGTGCACTGGGGGTGCCCAGTGGCACTTTCGTAAATATGGCAAAAAGTGAAACTTGGAGTTTTGACTCGGGATCTTTATGGGAGGTACCTTGAGTCCATAGAAGCTGGTTGGCGCAGACGGCACTCAATTTGGATGTCGGGAAAGGTCTGAAAGGCCATTATGACTCCTCAAGCATGGGTGATGTTTACTCCTGTCAGAGTGCTGGATTTCCTTAAGACTATATTAGGGGGGGTCTGTTGAGCACATCGGTTGGGCTATGGCATGGCTTGCTTAGAGGGCTTAGCCAACGTGCATGGGCACGTGTTGCACCACTCCAAGATGGTTGCACAAGTGGGGAGCATCCAAGATATTGAAGGGCAAACAAATGGGCACCGACACGCGCGCTGGTGTGCAGCGGCGCGCGTGCGGGCAAGCAGGTGGGCGCGCGGGCTAGCGTCTAACCTAGTGTGCGCCAGCGTCTAGCTCGGCGTGCGCATGGGCGTCCAGGTGGGCGTACAGCCACGGGCGCATGAGGGTTCAAACATGGCGCGCGAAGAAGGGCACTAGTGTGTGCGCCGGCGTGCACTTTGGTGTGCACCCGAGCGTGCGCACGGGCGTGCATGGCTTGGCACGCCGTGCACTCAGAGACATATATATGTGGGTGCAGATTGGTGGACTTGGCTTGGGCTAGGTTCACAAGGTTGACTCAGATGTGGCTAGAGCATGGACAACACAAAGTCATGGCTTGCGGTTACAAGAGGTGATGGCTTAGTGGGCTCGGTTGGTTGGGGGAAGTTACTAGCACTTCCCACTCATCATGGGAAGTGGGGGAGTGCTGAGTAACCTCCCAAACATGTGGCACAATTCTGAGTGGACCAACACACAGGCGGTTAAGGGTGGTTTCCTCCACTATGCAGAATCTAACTTCTTGTGGTTATGTGGCATGAGCAGAACATGCCAACAAGTCTAGCAGTTGGGCTTGTCAACTGCATTATAGTGCTGGCTCATTTAGAGGGTGCCAGCACGACCCTAGGTGGATGGGGGTGTCATCCATCATCTTAGTGGGCAGTTATGGGCGGTTTTGAGAGTGGCCTATATAATGCTAAAGTGGGCTTTGTAGAGGGAACAGAGAAGAGGGTGTGAGCCTTGGTTGTTCCTTGTACGAACTCATGTTCCTTTGTAATATGTTTAATATGAGCAAAGGTTGGGGCTTGTCCCTGTAACTGTGTGTGCCTTCTTTATATTTCTATACTGTGTGTATTGTGTTGTTGTGTTGGCTGAGACTTGGTGGCCCCAAGTGCCATTGCAGAGGCAAAAATTCGTGGTGTAATTTAGCCCTGTGACAATTGGTATCAGAGCCCCGTTCTACGATGGCTGGAGGTAATACTCGTGAGAGAGTTTCCCATTTGGAAGAGTTCGTGGGTTTTCCTACAGAAACAGAGGTACAAGATGGTGCAGAAAGCCTTGTTGTTCGAATTGAAAACTTGGCTTCTGAATTGGAGATCTTGAAGACTGATCCTGATGGGTTTGGTGACTTCATGCAGGCCACCAAAGAGCAATTGACCCGTATCTCTGAAGATGTTGAGTCACTGACTGACGTCTTCAAGAAGAACCTAAAAGACCTTAAAGATGAAGTGTCCTTGGTGAAGAGGGCCATTCATGGGAGTTCCAGAGGCAGTGGTGATCCTCTTTCACAGAAGATCAAGGTGCCGGATCCCAATTCTTTCAGTGGTACCCGAAATGCCAAAGAGTTGGAGAATTTTCTATGGGACATGGAGCAGTACTTCAAGGCTGCTCGGATCCCTGATGGCGAGAAGGTGACCATTACAAGCATGTATCTGTCTGGTGATGCAAAGCTATGGTGGCGCACACGGACAGAGGACGATGCTTCTGCGGGTAGGCCTCGGATTGAAGTTTGGGAGACCCTCAAGAAGGAATTGAAGGACCAGTTCTTGCCTCAGAACACTGCATGGATTACAAGGGAATCTCTGAAGAAATTGAAGCACACAGGTACCGTTCGTGACTATGTGAAGGACTTTAGTTCCTTGATGCTGGACATTCGAAATATGTCAGAGGAGGACAAGCTGTTCAATTTCATGTCCGGATTGCAACCATGGGCTCAGGCAGAACTCCGTAGGCAAAGCGTGAGGGACCTTCCTACTGCCATGACAGCGGCAGATTGTCTTGTAGATTTCAAGATGACTGGGTCTACTACACAAGACAAGAAGAAGTTCAAGGAGGGAAAGAAAGACAAAGGCCAGTCCTTCAGATTCAAGGACAAAAAGAAGGACAAGAATCAAAAGAAGGATAAAGGCGGTGGCTTTGTCAAGGCCAAGGCAGATTACAACAACAAAGGGAGTAGTAGTGGGACTAAGCCCAACTACGGTTGTTTCATCTGCAATGGTCCCCATCGTGTTAGGGACTGTCCCAAGAGGGAGAAGCTGAGTGCTATTGTCGCTGATTCAAAAGGAGACTCAGACTCGGAATCTGGTCCAACCCGAGTTAATCCTCTGCAAATGCTGAATGCTCTTACTGAAGAACAGTCCATGGAGTTGAAAGGGCTCATGTTCATTCAGGTGACACTGAACGGCAAGGAAGTTTTGGCAATGGTGGACACGGGGGCCACTCATAACTTCATTGCGTAGAGGGAAGTAAGTAACTTTAATTTAAAGTTAATTCCACATGCTAATAAGATGAAAGCTGTGAATTCTGAAGCCAAGCCTGTTTTAGGCATGGCCACCACTTCTATGAAAGTTGGTTGTTGGGAGGGCGTAGTTAGTCTTATGGCTGTTCCCTTAGATGATTTTGATCTAATTCTTGGAATTGAGTTCCTTACGAAAGTCAGAGTGGTAGTTGTGCCATATTTGGGAGGAGTTTTTATTTGGGACAGGAGTTGTCCATGTTTTATTCCATCAGTGGCTCTTTATGGGCACCAAAAGAAGGAAGATCGTAAATATGGTTGCATCGAAATA